ATCGAGGTTTGGTAAAGAGAGACATTTCCGCAGTGCGAACAACGTCAAGAACAGCGAACGCGTATGGTTCCGGTGTGTCGGCGGGTGCACCAGGAAATGGGGCAGAGAAAGCAGGAGAACATCAGACGGTAAAGTTCGGAATTCGGGGTGTTCTAGTTTCTGTCTTTTAAACGGCCTAGTGATATCTTCCATGATTCGAGTTGTGTACTCAAGAAAGTTCGAAGGAGAGTTGGCGCAAGAGGAGGTGACATCAAGGCGTGAAGTCACGCCAGTCACCTCTGTGACATGTCGCGTTCTCGTCAACACTTTCTTCAACCACTGAGTACTGACTTTCAACGTTTCGACCTCGTTGTTGTTGCAAATTCTAGAACCGTACGTATCCCGGAACTTTCACGCCACCTGAGACTTTTTACCTTCAATTATAGGAATTTTCTCGCGTAATTTGTTCTCAAACTCAAAGTCTAAAATATTTATCTCAGGTTCCGACACCTCGACTCATGATGATGCAAGCGTCAAATCGGTCCGTATCAAGTCCACATAATAAAAGCCACATTTTTTGACGTTTAACAGCGGAACAGATACTCGTCCTCGAACAACGGCTGTACAACGGCAAACAAATGTATCACACGAGTGCGCTCTCTGCGGAAGTATGCAAAACCAGGACATCGACGACAACGACTCTTTTCGTTGCGAGATAGCGAATATGAACCCTTGCGATCCATGCACAAAACTGGCCGAACTCGATGTCCAGATCTCCAAAGTGAAGAAGGCCCTTGCCAAGATGCAGAGAGAGCGCCGAAATCTAAAATCGAAGATAAACTACAGTCACGACCGATTTATTCATCAACTTCCTCCAGAGATTTCGTCCGAAATCTTCCATCTCTGCATTCCTGAACACATTATCGATATAGACCTTCAATACGAACCCAGGGAAAATGCCATATCCGCTCCATTAATCTTGTCATCTGTATGCCAAAAGTGGCGACAGATTGCTCAAACGACGCCTAAACTTTGGACCTCTGTCCCTCTTCGCCTGAGTCCGAAAAACCACTCCTCCCTACCCCAACTGGCAAAGGAATGGATAGGTCGATCTGGCCAACTTCTGTTGTCAATTAGACTTTTCGTTCATCCTGGCTTTCTCACCCATACCGCCTTTCGCCCTTTGATTGCGATTATCAATCAACATTCTACCAGGTGGAGACACCTGAATTACGAAGGCCCTTCCTCTTTATTGTCGGATCTTGTTGGGAACTCGCGAGGAGCCTCCCAGCTACAAACCCTCAAATTACGCCCTTCTGCCTCTAGATCTGAAGGGCGCTTCAAATTGACTAATTTCAAACCAGCGCCAGCCATGCTCGAGATCTCACAACTTCGCCTGAAGTCGGTTGTTATCGAATGGAACAACGTCACCCACGTGAAAACCATCCATCTCCACATCGACGAATGCTGGGAACTTTTTCGGAGAGCGCCACGGATGACGCACTGTCTGCTGGAGGACATCCGCAAAAATCAACTGCATGATCAGTTTCCGATGCCCCGTACTCCAATACTACACCCTACCCTTCAAGTTCTTGAGCTGGTTCCCTCTATCTACTATAATGATCTCTTCCTCGATAATGTTATCCTTCCCTCTCTACAAAGCTACACGAGCCACGGGGACGGTCGACCTCTAAACACTCCCAGTCTCGTATCGCTTTTCTTTCGGTCCTCTTGCTCCTTGCAGAAGTTGTCTCTGTTAGACGTGAAGCTCGATGATACAGATCTTGTTTATCTATCTCGAGTGACGCCTGAGCTCCGCCATCTGAAGTTAAAGTTGTACGCATGTGGCGCATATTTTACGGAACGTATTTTTCGCCGCTTCTCCGAAGCTTTCAACGTTGTCGGCGACGACACAGAAATTCAACAAACCTTCTTTCCTCAACTACAATCCATGACATTCCAAGGAACAATGCCTTCTGATTGGAAGACGGTGCCCGACATTTTTGGCTCGCCCTCTGACATACACAATCCACGTCGACGGCCTTTGCGCTCGGTCGCCCTTACTCTTTCTCCGACCCTAACTGAGCCATACTGCGACCTTATGATAATCGACGAAGATACCCTTAGAAGAATGCTATTGCTGGTTGAGCAGGGAACCGAATTGAGGATCGAGGATATGTCTACCGACAAGGACGTCCTTCAGCAATCCATCGAATTTTACGCGCGCGACTTCACATTGGAGGAGAGTCAGGGTCCTACGTCTAATTCTTCATCTGCAGCGTTGAGCGAGGAGCAGTAAAGTATAACTAATTTCTATGATATCGTGGCAGCCACGGTTTTTTGTCATGAACAATATTTCGCCCTGAGTACGGCCAGAGCTGAACAACCTACTTACTGTTCCCTACTTAGTTTTCCACCCGGATCTTGTGCTCTTCCTTCTTTCTATCTAAGAAATTGCTAGTGATATGTTACCCTCAAAATCCATATTCCGATTCCGACGGGCTTTGGCCATTTCCCTGTCGGATTCTCATTTTTCGTCAAATGGACCCCCTGCTAATCGTCAAATTTCCCTCAATTCCATCGAAATTGAGTGGAACAATGTCCCCTACGTAGAAACAGAAAGTTTTCACATCGATGAATGCTTCGAGCTCCTGTGACGATCTCCGCGGATCGTGAATTGTGCACTCCTGGGGGTTCAAGGAATAGCCACAATATCTGAAACCATCGTCGTTCATCCCACCCTGCAATCATTGTCTTTTTTTAATCAACATAATACTTAGTGCCAACATCTTCCTTGACGGCGTATCATGTCCTTCCATGACCAGCTTCAGCTACGCCGCCGATTCATATGCAGTAGAAAGAGACACCATTATATCCTTCTTAATTCGCTCGGGTTGTTCTCTGCGCCATATCACCATTGAGCGCTATTTGTCTGACACAGAAGCTTTCCTCCGGGTCCTCAGAACAATAACGGCACTACAAAACCCATCATTGAAGGATCCAAAATCATCTGTACTGTACATGATGCAGTCATTCTACTTAGTCTTTAACTTGAAGTCGTTAGTACTAGTAGGCGCGGCGCGGAGGGGTATACATCCCATTCTCGTAGTCGAGAATTAACCGGATATAAATCTCCAGAACGGGGCGTTGCGATGCCGCAAGGCGCGGGAAGAGCCTTCTGGCGTACACAGACGCATCTTTCTTGAAACCGCGTGTGTCGATATCTTCGGTGGGCGCAGGATATATTGTGACTTCGAAGAGGAAGCTGACTTTCTCGAGTGAAGGTGGGAGAGAGCTTGATAGTATGAAGTCATCAAGGATAGAAAAGTCGCGATAGGCGTCGAATACATCACTGGGGGTCCGAGCATCGAAATCTGAGCCTCGGAGGGAAAGAGTAATATGGAGATGGCGAATGGGAGGGAGGTTCGGCTGCAAGACGTGAGGAACTTTCTCCAAATTCTGTCGATAGCTGGGGTCCTCATGGAAGATATTCGCGTTATAGATAATCGACAACTTCTCCAATTGCGGGAGCTGGTCGTAGAACTCGATACTTCCGAGGTGTACGTCGAATACTAAACAGAGAAAAATTCGTGGTTACAAATTAAGAAATCAGACTGGGAAAGGGCAAGCTCACTTTTCATCCTAAAAGTGAGCTTCTTCAACGCGACTACATTTTTCACGATATTGTGCGTCCTTTCAAAATCTTCAACGCCATGTATTTCGGATGAAAGGGCGTTTAGACCAGGTAAGGCTGGTTCCGGGCCTAACGCATTGTAAGTTGGCGTGCCAATGATTCTCCTCAGAGAGCAGGAGTGGTCCGTATTGAGAGTTTCAAGATGTGCAAGGGGGCTATATACGGGTCCACCGTCCTCTGAAGATGCAGGTAGCGAAACGTCCGAAGAGTCCAGGAAGCTGACGTGGTCCAAGTGCAAGTGTTTCAAAGTTGATCCGTGCAGCAGGTCGGTAGGAATATCATCCAAGTAGTTCAGCTTCAGCGTGACCAGGTAGGAGTTTGTGCAAATATCCTTGAGCGCGGACTTGAAATCCTCGTTTAGAGATGCATAACCCAATGCCGCTAAATCGCCTTTTCGGGATGGTACAGGGAGTGAAAGTGATAGCATGAAAATCCCATTTGGAGCCTGAGGTTGTCCTGTTCCACGAAATATACGGCGTAGAATAGATGCCAGAGATCCGTCATCCAATGTGTTATGGACGGTCCTTGCGCTCCGCTGTAGCTTTATCGTGAGGTTTCTGACGTGACGAGCGATGCCTGCTTCCTGCGACCATACGTCCGAATTGATGAGGTCAAGGAGGGTTCGAATATGGGACACCGTCGCCGTTTTCCCAGAAAAAGATATGGTCGAGAATCGATGTTTGTTGGCGCGATCGCGACACGCGTGCGAGAGGAGGGCGATCGAGGACAAGGTGCGATTGCGTGATGCCTTCCTGCTTATTTGTGCTGCTTCATCGATTACACGGTCACTCAATTCTTGTGGAATGAAATGCACAGAGGACGACATTGAGAGAATAGATCAAGGAGTCAGCATGTTGAGCACAAGCCACGAGGCCGACACCTTTTGACTTTCGCACGCCACGCATTCATCTGCCATTATCATCTCGCCGTTCTTCATCCTCATTAACGGCGACCAAGATCTCCTAAAATTTCTTCCCAGTTATCATTGGAGCGGGTTCGTATCTCCAGCTCCTCGACCTTTCGCGTGTCCAGTTGAAGACAACTGGAATTGATCTTTCGGCTGAAATGACGAAGGGGATTTGGAGGAAGAGCAGGAAGAAAACGTAGATACTCAGTAAACTTGGCTTGACATATCCTCCACCTATCCGCGCTCGTTTATATCCCTCAACTAGCGAATGTTGCAATAAATTCTGAGCCCAAGTACATATAATAGCAGCAACTCAGGGCATTCATACAAAAACTTGCAAGGGACAACCGCCAAAGTAGAAAAAAACCTACATGCCCCTTCCTATATAACTGTGCCAAGGAATTTAAGAAGAAAAAAGAATGCATTAAGAGAGAATCGAACTCCCGGCGGGTCGAATCTTTTCATTATTCGATGGCAACGACCCAGGTTACCACTACCCCATTAATGCTGTCTTCCAAGTAATTCACCGTGCCCACCTGATGACGAGAAAGAGGAAAGCGCACTAAAATCCAGAGGTAAATCCCAACTTCTAGAGAACAAAAACGAGCCCACCTACTCGAACATATCCCCGACTCCAATCCACCTATCGCACACGGACTAAGCCCCGCTTCATCCAGGACGACACCTTAGCATTGCCCATGCGGCCTGCTCCTATCCGCGACACGCGACATGTAGAGGTAAATCCCGCCGTCCTTCTCTGTGAACATCGAATAAAATCTACTGACCTTGCTCAGCTGGGCTGTAAACTCTTGCGTCTCGAATTTATCCGTGACCTATGTCTGCGCAAATTTGGGTAATGGCTCATTTGTACACCGTACGTATTCGACTGACCATAGGTAGTGCCACCTGTCAAGACGCCGATAATGCGATGTGAGGCGCAAAACCGAGGTAATCGTAGATGGTAGCGGCGAGCGAATGAACACAGGGCAGGTGGGTCATGTCTTCTGGGCCCTCACAGGTGTTTTCACCTTACAGTTCATAAGCATCGATGACAGTATCTTGTATTTCTGCCAGAGGATGTTGTTGAGGGGCGCTGCAAGGATGGCATATTTAGCTATAACTTGAATGATCCTTTTTAGACTCGCTATATTTCTGACACATACCGATGCGCAACCTATTTGTTCCATCCCTCAACTCCTCTCAACACATGCAGGCTGTGTGAACAAGGGCTTCACTTTCTCCTAGCCGAGTTCGCTGTTGGAGGAAACTGCGGGGATACTGCAAGCAAATATGGTATTGATCTTACACTCCTTGTATGCCACTTAACGTGTAGACTGACTACCCGAGTGCTGCATAATGCGGTGGCCTCGCAAGGCTAACAGCCATCGGCGCCATCTCGTTCATTTCAGGCCTCCATTCCCGGTGGCTGAACGGCGGGATGTATCCTCTCCAGGAGCGAAGGATCGCCGAAGGAGATAAATGCCATTGGTAGCCCCTGTGTTTAAATTGTAGGCGTTCTTTGAGTACAGCTCGATTTTTGGGGTCGTTGCAGGACACACTGATGCGATACCGATGTGCAATACCCCGATACTTACCCAGCCATGCGCCATCTCCCTCCATGCTGTATCCGTCGGATTCTGGCCCGTTGGTACGTGAATTGCCCGTTCCCGCTCATTGACGGCGGGGACTGGTCCCCATCGTGCGCTGCAAGGACGTAAGTAGAGGTAGGTGAGAGTACTTGTTGAAGTCCTCATTCTCCCGGAACTGACGCCACAGGTTGCTGGGAGAGCGGCCGATATGATGCCGGAGCCGAGTGGCCGATATTATCCCACACGGCCAAACAGGACAGAATTGCAACAGGTTCAACGCTCAAACGTTCAACGGTCAACGTCAACGTCCAACGTTTCAACGGTCAACAACGTGAAATTGGGCTGTAACTTTTAAAGTGGAATTACTGAACTGACGTTGAAGGCTCCACTTAAGTTGTTGGAATATTGAGCGCACGCAAAAGGTTCATGCGACGTTGGTCAATGGTGTATGCTTGGCTTAGCCTCGCACGTTCTTCGTCTATTTCACATTAGTTTCTACCACGTGGGCTCGTCATTACTGCTATGTAAATTGTATATAGCTAGTGTAAATTAGAGACGAAGCCCTCGCTCGATTGCGAGGGTCCCTACTCACATCCCGAGTAACCGACGCGGACACGGTTATTTCAAATTTTCAACACAATCGAGCATTATACTCTCAACCTTGAGTCTCTCTTCGCACACACATCACTCTCGCTCCTACATATTTCTCCTTGACGGCAGGTGGCAGTACCTATAAACTGCGGAAGGCGGCCGCAGTACCGATACCCACTGCAGAAGAACTGAAGATCCCTCATTCTTGCCTTGGCCCTTTTCCGACGTCGACTCATCATTTCCCTGCTTACAATGACTTCCGAGGTTTCTGCCCCACGCTTCAGTCGCCTCAACGACACTAACTATGCTGAATGGGCTTTACGAATGGAAGCCGTGCTCATCCGCGCAGGCCTTTGGACCATGATCGACATCAAGGTGGATGGCAATGGAAAGTCAGCTGACGAAATCAAGAAGGAATTCGAGACGAAGAAGAAGGGAAGGGATACAACGAAGATGAGTGAAGCTCGTGCTGAGATTGTCCTTCGAGTCGAGGATGGTCAATTGGCCCATTGTATGCGTTCGACCGACCCGCACGATATCTGGGTCACTCTGGAGAGCGTTCACCGGGCCGCCGGATTTGCCACAAGCCTCGCTTTACGACGGAAATTCCTTACGATGAAGAAAACGAAGACGCAGGCAATGCAAGCTTGGATTGGTGAAGTCCAGGGTCTTGCCTTCCGCCTTGAGCAGGCCGGAGTTGAAGTTGTCGACCAGGACAAGATTCTCGCCCTTACGATGGGTCTTCCCTCTACCTATGACGCTGTTATCATTAATTTCGACGCTACGCCATCCGATCAGCTCACCCTCAGCCACGTTATTGCTCGCTTACTTAACGAGGAGGTTCGCCAGGCCAAACCCGATGGTGACGACAACTCCAAGGATGAACACGACGAAGCAATGGTTGTTACTCGCGGTGCTACCTCGAGGACTTCACGTCTCACCACTCAGGCTGCAGCCGACATTACCTGTTTTTTCTGCGACAAGAAGGGGCATTACAAGTCTGAATGTCCAGAGAGGTTGGAGTGGGAGAAGTCAAAGAAGAAAAGGAAGGGAGATATTGCAGCAGCAGTCGAAGAAGATTCCGAGGACGACTACGATGATAGTGATGGGGTTTTCTGATTTTTATTTTGTGGTTTAGGACTTACGGGGGTGCAAGATTCTTTTTCTTTGCGGGGGTGCTGAGGTGCGCCTGTCGTTTTTGGTTCTATTTTGTTTCTCTTTCCTCCTTTTCTCTTTGCGTTGCGCTCACGGGGTGTGTTGGAATATTGAGCGCACGCAAAAGGTTCATGCGACGTTGGTGTATGCTTGGCTTAGCCTCGCACGTTCTTCGTCTATTTCACATTAGTTTCTACCACGTGGGCTCGTCATTACTGCTATGTAAATTGTATATAGCTAGTGTAAATTAGAGACGAAGCCCTCGCTCGATTGCGAGGGTCCCTACTCACATCCCGAGTAACCGACGCGGACACGGTTATTTCAACATAAGTTTGATTTACCACCCAAAATCAGACTCGGATCCTCGTTTAAATCGCCCAAAAATCGCCTAGGACAAAAGTGGCAGAGGCTAAAGGTGAGCAGATATCCCTCACTCGATCTGAAAACTACTAATTCACTTTGTTCTGCCTCAATTCATCGCTTAGACCAGTCGAAGATGAATGATCCAGAAATACCCATCCACGACATTGGACGATCCAACGGTGACAGATCCTACCTCTCGTGCAAATTATCCAACGGACAACCGTGCCCTCCATGCACGAGCCTTCTAAAAATCGACCAGGAGATCGCCGAATTAGTGATCAAGCGTCGGTCGATAATGTCGCAGGTTAACCAAAACCATGATCCAACTATTCACCGACTTCCTCATGAACTTGCATCCCACATTTTCACGCTTTCCATCCCCATGCTGATGTCTCATCGCAAGAACTACAAGAAATCCTTGTTATGCGCACCATTGATTCTAGGAGCCGTTTGCCTGAAATGGCGCCAGATTGCTTGGTCGACCCCCCACCTCTGGACGAAAATCAGTATTAACCTTCTACCACAAAAATTTCCGCAGAGGGGTCAGCTGGCACAGGAATGGCTCAATCGATCCGGAGACCTCCCGTTGTCAATTTATCTCTACCACAATGACAAGTCCAAAGATTTGCCAAAGAAGTTGGAGCCTGTCTTTTACCCAATCATTGAAATTCTCAATCAGTGTTCGCACCGTTGGTACTCCCTCGATCTCGACCTACCCTCTTCTCTCATATCACGTTTCGGTCGTGATTCTCGCTCGACCGCCATCCTCCATAGACTTCAGTTGAAGTTTTCAGATTCTTTGAGGTTGGGTTGGGAGATCGACGTCGACGGTCAATTCCGTTTGGACAATGTACTGCCCCGCCCACAGGAGGTCGTCTTGACATGTGTTCCCCTGAATTCCGTCAAAATTGAGTGGAACAATATTACACACGTGGAAGCAATGGGGTTCCACGTTGACGAATGCATCGAGCTCCTGCAATGTGCTCCACGGATGATTCGCTGTGAATTCAGCGAGGTCTGGAAAGTGAAAGAAAGATCCACAGCATCTAAAACCATTGTCGTTCATCCCGCCCTACAAACACTGTCCTTTTCCTCTCGTGATGAGATAGTCGAAACCATCTTCCTTGAACATGTATCTTGTCCCTCCCTGACAAGCCTCACCTACGATGCCCATTGGCGTCCAATGCCAACTGACGCCATTACATCCTTTTTAATTCGCTCGGGATGTTCTCTGCACTTCCTTCACGTATTCGGCGAGAAAGAAGTCTTTGCCCAGGTCCTCAGAGCGACACCGGAATTGCAACACCTAGTATTGGACCATCCACGAGCATCTGTGCTGAAATTTTTCCTCCAGCTTCTCGCCTCTCCGATTCCTATTCAAGCCAAGAGCCCAGCAGGTGAAGGACCTCTTCTTCATAATCTCCAATCATTTGACTACTACGGATTGTTCAATTTTTCATGGGAACAAATGCTTGCCATCTACGGCCCCGAATATCAGCCAGCTAGCTCCGCAGAGTTCCTTTCGGCAACTCTACCAGAAAACTTCTGTTGGCGACATTTATCTTCTCTCATCGTGGGAGTGGACGCGTCCACGCTGGAAGAAATATACATCAAGAAAGATACCCTCCTTCAATTCATGCGACTTCAGAAAGAAGGAATCGAGCTCAGTTTTGTGAACAGACGAGATTGGTCAGATATAACCGAGGCTTCAAAAACTTTTCACGGCGTGTCTGAGGAGAGCGATGGCAATTGTGAAGCTTGACTTCATGTCGAGTAACATACCGATTTCTGACATATAATGTATTTACAT